GAAAAAAATTAGTTTCCAGTATTTGAAGGTCTTACATTGTGTTTGTAATGCAAAGTCAAGCTGTTTGTGACTGATGCATTGGAATAAACAAAATGGTATTTTCAGCAGAAATGTTTGAGGTCTTCACCTAGGACAAAATGAGTGCTTTTTAAAAATAAGCGAAACTGCAGTAAAATACTTCTTTCTGGTTTTGTGTTAAGCCTTAACTTTATGGGTTGCACCCTCTGAAGCGATTCAAATTCTCCATAATTATTTATTCATGATCAACAATGACTATTCCAAATATCAGTTTTCAATGCTCTGTATTTTCCATTGATTTCTGCCTTCTTGTTGGCTAATCAAGTGGGATTTTACGCATTCTGTCTGATAATCAATTTTTGTGCAAATAGTGCATCTATTTGGGGTTTACTTAATGAGGGTCTTTTCAAATAATTCTCTAAAGACAATGTATAATTTAGGAACAAGTGGACCACTGTGTTCTTTTCTCAGAATCATTATACTCTTTTCTCAGGTGACAGGCATCTGGAGAATAAACATGGTTTCAATTGTACAAAAAAGTGAACCAGAGTTCATATCACCCTTAGGTACATGATAAGTTGTTTCTTTTATTTTTAACTTATCACCATAGCAGAGGTAACATCAAAAGGTGTGTGAGGCTGAGCAGAGACTGAACATAATTGTGTCATTAGACTAGTCAGTTTTCTGTCTAAAAGACATTGCTGCTAATTTACCAACTCATACCCATGCTGGATCATAAGAGAAATGCTGAGCAAAGGACGGGGAGGGTGCGGGTCTTGTTCGGAAGAGGAGAGGTTACGAAAGAGTCTACATACCAATCAACCTGGGAGTGAATAAATTCTGCTACACTCCCATGAAATGAGATGTATAGAAACTTCCATCAAAGTGGTCTGAAATTTTAGGCTTTGGCAACATTGTTTAACAAAAGCATAATACATAAAAGAAACAACAATTTTATGCATATACTTTTAATAAAGAACATAGGAAGATAGTCAGTACTTGTGGGTATTTCTGTAGCAAGACAATGTTTTAAGAATATTATATATAATCACTTTGAGCAGATTGGAAGGAAAAAGGACTTAGCAAATTGGCAACTTGAGCTTAATTGCTGAGGTCCCCCGTGCCTTGCTTTCTCTGGTGCTCCAACACATTTCATGTTACCAAGATGCAGTACCAGCTTCTCTGCTGTCTGCTGAGTTAGCCAGCAGAGAGACAGCAATTATTCCTTGAATGCATCTTTTTATTTTTTCCCTTTCCTTTAACACCATTTCCTACCTAGAATATATTTCCTGATACATTACATTCATTGTCTGTTATAACTCATTCTGTTGATGGCCATATACCAGATGTCTACAAAGAACACATCTAATAGTTTTTAACACTGTGTGGGACACAACCCTAGCCATTTTGGGGACGCAAACAGTCATGGGTTGCATGCTATTAGGAGCCACCCATTCATTATTATATTACATAACAAACACCTGCATGCAAAAGACTACAATTTAATATGGCATATTACAGCTGTGGTTAAAAAAATGCAGATGTGTCATATTTAAGAAAACATTTTCTGATTGGATGGAGCTCATGAATTTTTCTAATAACATGGAACTTGTGGGAGGGTCGAACAATCTCGATGATGCCTTCATGACTGATAGAAACACAGAAACATCTTTTGAACCAACTGAGTATGTTAGGTACTCTGGGAGCAGAGGTTCTAGAACAGCGGTTCTCAACCTGTGGGTCATGACCCCTTTGAGGGTCGAACGACCCTTTCACGGGTCGTCTAAGACATAACGGTAGCAAAATTACAGTGATGAAGTAGCAACAAAAATAACTTTATGGTTGGGGGTCACCACAACATGAGGAACCGTATTAAAGGGTCGCCGCATTAGGAAGGCTGAGAACCACTGCTCTATAAATGGAGTGTTTTTTACTTGCTGTGACTGTTGGACTTCTTTCTCGAAGGAGAGGACAGAGAATTATTCCTTTAAGGTATTTGCTCCTGATGACCAGGCAGCCAGTCTCGGGGGCAGGGTGCGTGCCTGCGCCAGTGCACTCATGTATGTGGATATATGTGTGAGAGAGAAAGGGATGAGTTTTGCATGACCATTTCATTTCTATGAACTTGGGCCGTGTTAAATTTCAGGTGCATTTAAAAATAATGTGTAGTCTATAGTGTTAAAATATACCTGCTAGGATTGTGCTTAAGTCTCCATTCACTGCAATGTGTACGTTTTGTGCAATGTGGCATCAACACGGCAAAGTCAGCCCTGAGACTGGGCTCTATGGGTTTCCAGGTGCGGTAATGACACTGGCCACATAGTGGGAAATGTGTGTCACGTGGGACCAGTGGGGGTAAAGAGGCACATATTACATTTCTATCACATAGAAAATAAGCGTGTATAAAATGCATATTTTCAGATTTTCGATAAAGTGGGACTCTTCTGAAATGTGATCTCACCATTATTACTCTCAATGTTCTAAGCTGTTCCCTGGTAATTGCAGTACTGAGAAGGCAAGTTACTCTAACAGTGCAGTGGACATGGGAACCATGGGCTTTGCTGCAGACAGCTATGTGCTTTTGGAGAGCACTTCATTCATTTTGCCCTTAATTTTTCCAGCTGTACTGTGGGTAAATAATTTCCAATCTGTCTATTTCCAAGGACATTGTTGGAGTTAATGGAAAAACATTAATAAGTACTCTAAGCTCTGCAAGAACAAATGAGCAATGAGAACATGGAAAAATGGAGAACACTGGTTTACTTGGAAATACTGTTATGGTCAAACTCTTCATTCTAGTCCTGCAATAACACATATAAGAGCACTAAAGATTACATAGCACCTTTTAGCCGTGGGAACCTAATGAGTGTCTTTGTTTTACAAATGTTGAAGTGTGGTACCAAAGATTGGGGAATGAGATGCCACAGAGGTTACTGGACAGGACCCCCAAGGAAAAACAGGCAAAGGAGCCAGATCAGGATATGTTCATTATCAAAAAAAATCCTCTCTGTCTTATCAATAGTAAACCAATTGGGGGGATGTTTACATACAGTAGTCAATATTCAATAATCTATGGATATTATCAGTCTATAAACTAGTAAGATCAAGGTACTGAGATAGAAATATGATTTCTTTATTTTGCTAAGCCCCAGCTAAGACACTGATTCATTTGGCCTTCTGAAGACAGTGTAAATCTGTCAGCTTTGCATTATAGTTTCCTGAGCTTTATGACCTGACTGCTGTGAGTGCTGGTGCACTCCATGCATCAGACAATTTCTTGATTCCTTTCCGACTTTGAATGATAGCAGCTACTCTGCCTAAACCCTCGGCAGAGGATGATAGATAGGAAAGGGAAGGAATTGCCTTGAGGCCATCTGGTTGTGGAGTAATAGGCCTACCTTTAGAGAAAGGTGCATTTCTCTATGAATAGAAGGCAAGTCTTGTCTGTCACAAGGCCATTTGGATGGCCAAATAAGCTTTCAAGAGAAACCTAAACAAGAGAGTGTCTTGAAGGGAGAGAGGAAGGGGGAAACTTCCCATCTGAACATATACAATTTCATTGTGCAATCCAGTATGCATAGTTTTCTAGGCTGCTTCTCGGTGTCTGAGTTTGAGAAGCAGTCCTTAGCCCTGATAGATTTAGTCATGTCTAGTATTCTCTCAAATGATATGCTGGCCACAGTCCACTTAATTTATGATAAAAGTCCTATCCTGACCAAAATTACCTAGAGGATCAAAATAAACAGGCCTTTTGTTGCTTTAGGTAGCTGGATAGATCACTTTCTCAGCTTCACTGGCGTCTGAACACTGAATTGTATGTGGCAGGCAACTCTTTCTATTCAATAAGGTTTTAGGAAAAATAATTTAGTAAACCTAACATCCCTCTAGGACTTTAACTCCTGGATGTCTGTAAGATACCTGTAACACCCACTGATCTTTGTAAGAGTTGGGACTTCTTTGTCAGCAGCTGGGCACTAGAGCACAGCTTGAGAAATAAAAATAATCAATACTCTTAAGTATTATTATTATTATAAAAAAGCAGCATTAGTATTCATACTCATTGATTCAGGCACTAGGACTAAAAGAAAAGATGATGATAAATAAATGGAGAACTAGATGTAAATTATCTTTACTGAGCTACCATTGAAACTAAAAAAAAGAAACAAAGAAAAAAAAGATCGTCATATTACTATTGGATTATCACTATCTGTACATTAACTCTTGCTGTGAAAACACAGATTTTTAGTGCTAATCCTTAGGCCAATTTCAACTGTGAAATTTTATCCTGATGAATATTATTGTAATTAAACCTGAAAATCACCATTAAAACCCTTAACAAAATCTATGGTCCATAAGTCAGCCTTATAGTTTTTCTTTCATCATAACAATAACTCATAAAAGCTAAAATAAAACTAGGTAGCAGAGAAGTAGAAGTAATTAGAGAATTTTACCACAGTCTGGCATTAAAGGTGTGTAAAACACTAATTGTTATATTTAATAAAGTGGAAATCTGATCTGACCTTTCCTATTAGCTGTAGTAACTTCAGAAACACCACACATCTATGACAGAAAACAGGTTTTACATTTACATTGCTGTTCAATTCCCAGTTTGAGGGCCCTGATTACAGTCTGTTGCATCTCTCTCTTGAATTGTAGATACCTGATACAGGGGTGTTGTTCACAGCTCAGCATATGTTTAAACTCCAATAAAAAAAAAAACCCTGATTAAATAAAAACCTCAGATTTTTTTAAAACTTGATTGCACAAGAGCACAGGAGAATTGTGTGTGAATGTACTGCACATATGCACGCTTGTACATGCACATGCATGCAAGTAGCAAATGTAGTCTGTAGTCTGATTACACTCAATACCACAAAGACCCTATAGATAGAACTAAGGGAGTTAAAGGTTCCAAGAAAACAGCCTCTGGAAAGATTATATATATATATATATATATATATATATATATATATATATATATATGCATTTACGCTTTCACAGATTGGGGGAGGGAACAGGAAGAAAGAAAGAGAGGAAGACTGGATTGAATTAACTGCTACCAGATTGATGAAGTCAGTCAGTAAATTAAATGACTTGTAAACTCCTGAAACATCTATCTGCACAGCAAGTGTTTGATAAAACGCTTTTATATCCTGAAGCTTTCAATCCACCATGGTGACTTATTTTGAAGATTAGAATAGTTCCCAACACTGAACTCTGTAAGCTTCATGGGAGATAGAGGGTCCTGGGAATGAAAAGAAGAAACACATAGGTGAGCTGAACAACTTAAATATATACATAGTAACATCCACTGAAAATAACGTGCAACTATTACAATTATGTTTATAAAGAATATGAGTCAGCACTAAAATATTAAGTAATAAAATCAGGATACAAAAATATATATGCAATATGATTATTTTTACCCCAGAAACTTTATCTGGAACAAAAGCCAGAGGAACTACACTAAATTGTTGTAAGTGATGAATTCACAGGTAATTTATTTTCTTTACTGTCTACTTGTATTTCCCCCAGTACATAAATAATAATTTCATAATGGGAAACAAATTTTTTTTTAAAATTCAGATGGAAATAACATGAGCTTTGAAATTGGGCAATTTTGAATTTGAATATTTTTGACAATACGGATGGACCTAGTGGGTATTATGTTAAGTGAAATATGTCAGTCAGAGAAAGACAAATACCATATGGTTTCACTTATATGTGGAATCTAATGAACAAAATAAACAAAATAGAAACAGACTCACCAATACAGAGAACAGACTGGGGGGGGGAGGTAGGAGAGGGGAAAGGGGGGATATATGGTGATGGAAGGAGACTTGACTTGGGGTGGTGAACACGTAGTGCAATATACAGATGATGTATTATAGAATTGTACACCTGAAACCTATTATATGCCAGGTGATTTACAGAGTTATTTGACAAACATGAGTTATTTTCTGTCCTTCACTGAAGAGCTAGTCCAATATAGCTGCTTTCCTGTTCAGACTTAAGGACAAGAATACCCTAAGTCTGAGATTCTAGACATAATTTTATTAACCAATGTAACTCCAATAAATTCAATGACAATAAAAAGGTACACGTGGTTCCATTTATCCTTGCCAACACTAGGTGCTCTAATTTATACAAATTGGCTGTTTCAGTAGACAAATTTTATATTTTGGGTTATTTTTATTTGTATTTCTTTCTAGTGAAATTGAACAATTTTATGTTTATTTTTTTATTCTTAAATCCTCACCTGAGGATATTTTTCCACTTATATTCAGATAGAGCGGGAGGGGGGAAAGGGAGAGAGAGAGAGAGGGAGAGAAACATTGATGTGAGAGAGACATATTGATTGGTTGCCTCCCACACAACCCGACAAGGGCTGGGGAGGAACCGCAACTGAGGTACATGCCCATGGCCAGAGTCAAACCCAAGATTCTTTGGTCCACAGGCCGACACTCTAATCGCTGAGTCAAACAGCCAGGGCTGTGTATTTCTAATTTACATTTTATTTTGTGAATTGTACCTTTGCCCTTTTTCTAACTATCCTGTTTATCTTATTTTTTTTCCCAGTGATTTCTAAGACCTTTGTAAATTAAGAAAGTTAAATTTTGTTTTATATATTTTGCAAATATTTGTCCAAGTTTGTCCTTTCATTTTTAAGAAAATATCCTGTAGAATCAGTGCTTTTTGTGTAAAAATGATGGCAATAATTTTTAAATACAAAAATTTGAGACAAAATAAAAATGTTAGCATTTGTTAATTCTACATTGTAAACATTTGGGTATTCACTTTATCTTTCATACTTGAATTTTAAAAACTTTTAATAATAAAACAAAGGAAAACATGTATAAAGTATCTATTAGTTTGGACACACATGACTTATTCAACCATCCCCTTATTGATGGACATTCAGGTTCTTTTCTATTTGGAGCTTCGATAAACATCACTGTAGTAATTATCTACATAAAAAATTCTTCATATCATGATAAATTGTGAAATGATTCTCCACTCTTCCTATGTTCTCAAACACTTTTCTGTTATTATTAAAACAAGACTGTTATTCCCACAAAATCAATCAGTTAATTTATGTTACAGAATGCCCTGGGAAAGCATTGTTTAAAAGCAATTTTGCATATAAAGGACATCATATCAAAAATATATTTTATGACTTAACATTCACTCAAGATGTTCTGAAACAAAGAGTTACATAGTAATACAAGTTTGGGTAGACTTATTCCACTTTTCAAGATTGACAAAGTTCTTTACCATATTATAAGGCCTGACAAGTACTGCACTAAAGACAATGTTCTATGATCTGCACATAATAAAATAAGTCCAGTCAAGTAGTTTCAGAAGGCTGCTACATCCTCCTCTTTTTAAAAAATATGTTTTTATTGAATTTTTTAGAGAGAGAGGGAGGGAGGGAGAGAGAGAGAGAGAGAGAGAGAGAGAGAGAGAGAGAGAGAGAGAGACATCGATGTGAGAGAGAAACACAGATTGGCTGCCTCCTGCACGCCCCCTACTGGGGATGGAGCTGCAACCTGGGCATGTGCCCTGACTGGGAATCAAACCAGGACCTCTCAGTCCATGGGACAACGCTCAGTCCATTGAGCCACAGTGGCTGGGGTACATCCTCCTCTTGTAGAGTGACAAACTCATTTATTTGTACAGTAAGTCAAGAATCCCTATGGTAAAGACAGCTCTCTAATTTTGCTTATACAGGGTTCCCTAAATTTATTTCACCAGAGAAATTTATTCCACCTTAACATCTGTTAACATCTCTTAACATCTGTCAAAGTGCTTCATAGGTTATCCATAGAAAAATGCAAACAGCATAGATAACTGAAATCCAAATACTAGCATACAAGTTATCTCACTGAAACATCAAACATTCCATTCGTTTTTTGGAGAAAAAGACATTTGATTCTTCCCTCTTTTTAACTTTTGATTATTAAAGTGAAGGTACACAGAAAACAGTCCAGGTCAGGTTTTTAAATGTAGTGTCATAGTGGTTAAAAGCATGGTTTGAGGTCAGACAGACCTGGATTGCAATCTTAGTTTATCCACTTACTGGCCAGACAGGTGATTTAACCTCTCTGGACTTGAGTTTTCTTGTAAGATGGGAATAATATGTTTACTTCAGAGAGCTGCTGTGAGGATTGAATGAGATAACATACATCAAGTACACAGTGAAGTGGCTGGCATATACCAAGTCTTATACAGCATCTATACTGGTACTCAGCAGGGTTTTATGAAGGAAAACAGTGAAGACCCAAGAGTCCATAGACAGATCGATAAGCTTCTGAATAATTGCTAGCTTTTTCATGGGAATGAAATTGGAAGGCTTATCAGATCAGAGCTTTGAATTCCATGGTATTTGTATCACTGAAATTCTCCATTTAATGCCAAATTACATTAGGTTATTTACCTATGAATGTTGCAAAGAGAAGGCTGTTTAGCTTTTCATTAGACCTAATAGAACTCCATGTGTAAGGCTGCCTGCCACTGGTGAACAAATTAGTAGCATTTGGGGAGAAGTGGAGTGTAGGGATGGTGCTTTTTGCCTGTGAATGGATAAGAGTAGGTTGTTAACTGACATAATGGAGTTAAGCAAAAAAAAAAAAAAAAAAACAACAACCAGAAAACAAAAAACAGCAAAAAAAAAACCACCTGTTCATATCATTTTAGAGGCCTGAAATGCATCATGTGTAATACATAGTATGAAAGCACATAACCTGAATGGTATGTTTGGCTGTTTCTGGATACCTTGGGGGTCTTTTAGCTCAAGTGAATAATACGAGTTTACAGGGAATAAGGGCATCCTTTCAGTACATTACACAGGGAAACTACGTCTAGAACTTCTACTTATGTGAATAATACAAGGGTGAAGAATTTAACATCTTGTTCACCAGGGTGAAAACTGACTCCTTTGGCAGGTACCGCCCAAGCCTGCCTCTGAGCCATCCATGCTGCGCTCTGTGTGCCTCCCGCCGAATACTCACCTGTCAGAGGTGCAGGAAATGTGAAAACTGCTACGTTTCTGTTTCCACTGCAAGAGATGATGAGCCTTCTGGATAATCTGTAAGGTTGAAAAGTAAACGTGATCAAATGTCTCTTTCCGTTGTACACGTGGGTATTCACTGGAATGTTTCTTTCTTTTTCAATTCTTAGAGGCAGCAGACATCTGCAAATCTCTAAAGACCTGCAGCTATACTGAAGCATTTGGAACCAGCCCAGATATTCACACTTCGAGAGTAGTCTGCCTGCTGTACTATGAACTGAGATTATTTTATTTATTAGCATTATCTGGTCTATGATACTGGCTGGCATTTGACTTAAATACCTATAATGACAGCTCAACATGAGATAGCATTAATGGAAAGTTTTGGGTCTTGCTACTAACAAAATTACCCTGTCTTGCTGTTATTTTACTGGACATAATTGAGATAGCTATTATAGTACTTTAGGTGTTGGTGTGTTTCTAAAAAGGAAGGAACTATCTAGAAAATAAGAGGCTTTGAATTTAACAAGCAACATAATGTATAGTACATACAAGTGTTTTTGTTTCTAACACACAGCATTTTAGGGGAGCAAAGTGCACCCTGAATCAGCTTACTTAATGCGCAGATGGTCATTTTCTTTATACTCCCTGCATAAAAATGTACTTGGCACTTTGAGATTTAAAAAAGTTGACAGCCCTGGCCAGTTTGGCTCAGTGGTACAGTGTTGGCGTGCGGAACAATGAGTCACAGGTTCGATTCAGGCCAAGGGCACATACCACAGTTGTGGTTCGTCCCTGGCCCTGGTTGGGGTTGTGCAGGAGGTAACCAGTCGATGTGTCCCTCTGACATCGATGTTTCTCTCTCTCCCTCCCACTCTATCTTAATATAAATAGAAAAATAATATCCTCAGGTGAGGATACAAAAAAATCAATAAAACCATATTTAAAAATAAATTAAAAAGTTGACAATTCTTGACCTTTCCAGTTTTTTTTTTTATTAGTTCACATATTTATTATGTCAGGTGTTTTTCACTCCTTTGTGTATATTCACATTTCTATCTGATTTAATTTTCTTCTAACTTAAAGACTTCTTTAGAGATTTCTGGTAGTGCTAGCCTGCTGGTGATGAATTATTACAGCTTTCATATGACTGAGAAAAAATCTTCATGTTGCTTTCATTTTTTAAACATTTTCTTGTTGGGTATGCATAGAATTATAAATTGACAGGGTGTTGTTTGTTTGTTTTTAACTTGCATAGCTTCCAACAAGAAGTCTGCTGTCATTCTTGTCTTTGTTCCTCTGCAGGTAATTTGTGTTTTCACTCTGGTTCTTTTAAAGGTTTTTTTTTTTTTTTTTTTTTATCACCTATTTTAATGAATTTGATTATAATGTGCCTTGGTGTAGTATTCTTTTTTAAAAATTTTTTTATTTATTAATTTGTTTTTGTTATAGATGTTTCTCATTTTTCCCCCATTGACACCCTCCTCCCCTCCCCCCCGCCCCATCCCCAGCTTTGTTATCTATGTTCATTGGTCATGCGTACATGCACGTAAGCTCTGTGGTTTATCTCTTCCCCCAGAACCACCCCCTCCTCTGAGGCTTGTCAGCCTGTACCCCACCTCCATGTCTCTGGGTCAGTTTTGTTCAGCAGTTTGTTTAGTTCATTATATTCCACAAATAAGTGAGATCATGTGACATTGTCTTTCTCTGCTTGGTTTGTTTCGCTTAGCATAATACTCTCCAGATCCCTCCATGTTGTCTCAAAGGATAAGAGATCTTCCTTTCTTACAGCTGCGTAGTACTCCATTGTGTATCTGTACCACTGCTTTTTTATCCATTCATCTACTGATGTACACTTGGGCTCTTTCCAGATCTTAGCTATTGTAAATACTGCTGCTATGAACATGAGGGTACATATATTCTTTCTGATTGGTGTTTCAGGCTTCTTAGGGTATATTCCTAGAAGTGGGATCACTGGGTCAAATGGCAGTTCCATTTTTAACTTCTTGAGGTAACACCATAGTGTTTTCCATAGTGGCTGCACCAGTCTGCATTCCCACCAGCAGTGCACTAGAGTCCCCTTCTCTCCACACCCTCGCCAACACTTGTTGTTTGATGATTTGTTGATGGCGGCCATTCTGACAGGTGTGAGGTGCTACCTCATAGTTGTTTTAATTTGTATCTCTCTGATGATTAGTGATGTTGAGCATTTCTTCATATGTCTCTTGTCCATTTGTATGTCCTTTTTGGAGAGGTGTCTATATAGTTCCTCTGCCCATTTTTTAATTGGGTTCTTTCTCTTCCTTTTGTTGAGTTGTATGAGTACTCTATATATATTGGAAATTAACCCCTATCTGATGCATCATTGGTGATTATGGTCTCCCGTATAGTGGGATCCCTTTCCATTTTGATGATTGTATCTTTTGCTGTGCAGAAGCTTTTTAGTTTGATGTAGTCCCACGTATTCATTTTTTCTTTGTTTCTCTTGCCTTAGGTGTTGACCTTCCAGTTTTTGCTTAGTACATTCTACTTTATGAAATAAATGTGCCATTCAGAGTGCTCCTGTAAGTGTAAGGTGTGGATTCCAGAAGATAGAGGTCAATCAGGGTAGATTACCCTTGCCACAGTTAGCCAGGTAGATTTCAGAGACAAGGCTGTTTTCTTCCAGGAAGAGTAGAAAAGTAAAAATGGCTCTGAATGTCTTTGGAATCATGGCTCCATTGTGGGTACAGCATCTTGTCTTTTTTTTTTTTTTTGTAATCCTCACCCGAGGATATTTTTCCATTTGTCTTTAGATAGAGTGGTGTGGGGCGGGCATCAATGTGAGAGAGACATACCAATTGGTTGCCTCCCACGTGACCCTGGCAAGGGCCAGGAATGAACTACAACTGAGGTACATGCCGTTGACCGGAATCAAATCCACGGCTCTTTGGTCCCCAGGCCGAATTTCTAACCACTGAACCAAATGTTAGTTGTATTCTTGGAATCAAACAATCATCTATATGCAATCTTATTTCGCTAGGGATAAAGACAATAATAAAATGCAGGTGATAAAATCTCTGACTTCAAGGAATTCCCATCTAGTTCCTTACCATCCAAACTTTTTATTGGAACCAATTACTTTTTTCATCACTTAGATTAGGGTCTTGTGCATTATTTGTGATTTTCCTTGTACCTTCTCCCTCTTCATTTCTTTCCACAAATCCAAATACTATATAATCTTTAAGACCCAAACTTTACTTGCTCTGTAAAGCCTTTCCTACCAGCCCAGCCTACAGGAATCAGTCTCCTTTGAATTCCTGTAACACAAACTTCATGGTTCTACTCATTCATTCAAACATCATATCCTGTACTGTGTTTTGTCAGACAACTTTTCATGTATATGTCTTATCTCCCCAAATACATTTAACAAATGTTAATCTCTCCCTCTCACCTCTCCTGTTTTATATATTTTTGGTTGAGCAGCCAGACATGCTCCCCCAGAATGGTACTGCCTCCTCTGTGTAGGAATGAGAGAAAATAACCTTGTGAAAAAGAACCATGTACCTAATCATCCCACATGTGTAATCATAAGTATATCACTCATGAGAAGGTGAGGTTGGTAAGATGTTAGTATAGGCCTATGTATCTTGACTTCCTATGTAGAAAGTTGGTAAAGAACTGACTGAGACTAAGGACTCTTCCATAGTTGGCTCTACTTATTGCCACTGTGTATAAGAATAATTAAGGTGCATTTGGTGTCCTTGAAGAAATATATTCTTTGAGGTAGAAAGCATGAATTTTTTTTAACCTTCACCCGAGGATATTTTCCCATTTATCTTCAGATACAGTGTGGGGGTGGAGAAACATCGATGTAACAGAGACACATCGACTGGTTGCCTCTCGCACAACCCCATCAAGGCCTGGGACAAACTGCAACTGAGGTATGTGCTCTTGGCCTGAATCGAACCCGCGACTCTTTGGTCTGTGGGCCGATGCTCCAACCACTGAGCAAAACTGGCCAGGGCGAAAGCATGAATTTAACTTAGAACCTTGACCAAATCCTGTGGTAGTATCTTAAGTTTCCTCAGGCATAATTGTAGGCGTCTGGTTAGGCCCAAAACCTAAGTGATAAGGTTTTCTTCCAGCAAGATTCAATGGCTGTCTGACAGGAAAGTGATTGCACAGAAGGTCACCCAGAGACACTTTAAACAACAAAGCTCTTGATGTGAAAGGCCTCTTATCTCAGAACCAGTGCTGCTCTATATAGTGTGTATTTAGAAAGTTTGAGTTCTGATGAAGAGACAGGCTCTTATCAATCATCTAAAAAGTCTAGGGATTAAAGCAATCTCTTCATAGGATGGAAGTGTGCTTTGGTAGGAGTATTACTTCATTATCTACTTAAAATAACATTTTCCTCACATCATGCTCCTTCTCAAAAACCATTAGTAGTTCTTTATCATCCATAAAATAGAGTTCTTAGTGTTATATCTAAGGACTTACCTGATATGACACCAATTTACCTGCTGAATTAATCTAGCAATCATCTATAATGCAAGCCTATTTGACAAGGGTTGCAGAGAATACTGAAATAAAGGTGAGAAGGTCTCTGACTTTAAGGAGTTCTCGTCCATCCTCTGCCATTTAAACTCTGGGCTACATTCTTCAGATCCTTCTTATTTAGCTTGGAGTTTTATGCATTGCAATCTGTGACTTGTACTTTCTGCCTCTTCATTTTTGCTACCAATCCAAATCCTATCTAATACTGAAGGCCCCAATTCTACTTCCTCTGTAATGCCTTTCCTGACTAGCCCAGCCCATAGGAATCACACTCTCCTTTGAATTCTTATAGCACAAACTTTATGTTTCTATTTATTTGGTCAATATCATACTTTGTACTATGTTTTGTTAGGCAACTTTTCATATATATGTCTTATCTCCCTAAATAAATGAAAGAGCCTTGAATTCAGAGAAAATAATGCATAACTCCCCTTATGGGTCCAATGTCATACCTTTCATAGATATGCTCTCAACAAACACTAGTTTATTTCTTGTTATTTTTCCTAATAGACTATTTATTATGGCAGTAGAAAATACCA